ATGCTAAGACACATGAAAAACAACAAGGTGCTTGGTGACAGCCAGCATGGCTTCACCAAGGGGAAATCCTGCCTGACCAAGCTGGTGGTCTTCTATGATGGGTTACAGAACTGATGGACAGGGGTAGAGCAGTTGATATCATCTACCTGGACTTGTGCAAAGCGTTCGACACTGTCCCACACGACATCCTTGTCTCTAAATTGGAGAGACATCAATTTGATGAATGGACCACTCGGTGGATAAAGAACTGGCTGGATGGCCCCACGCACAGAGTTGTGGTCAATGGCTCCATGTCCGGCTGGAGACCAGTAACAAGTGGCGTCCCTCAGGGATCGGTGTTGGGACCATTCTTGTTCAACATCTTTGTCGCTGGCATGGACAGTGGGATTGAGTGCACCCTCAGCAAGTTTGCCAATGACACCAAGCTGTGTGGTTTGGTTGATATGCTGGAGGGAAGGAATGCCATCCAGAGGGAGCTTGACACACTTGTGAGGTGGGCTGATGCCAACCTCATGAAGTTTAACCATGACAAGTGCAAGGTCCCACACCTGGGTTGGAGCAATCCCAGGCACAGCTACAGGCTGGGCAGCGAAGAGACTCAGAGCAGCCCTGCAGATAAGGACTTGGGGATGTTGGTCGATGAGAAAATGAACATGAGCTGGCTTCAGTGTGCACTCACAGCCCAGAAAGCCAATCGAATCCTGGGCTGCATCAAAGGAGCGTGACCAGCAGGTCGAAGGAGGTGATCCTGCCCCTTTACTCTGCTCTCACGAGACCTCACCTGGAGTACTGTGTGCAGTTCGGGTATCCTCAACATAAAAAGGACATGGATCTGTTGGAACAAGTCCACAGGAGGGCCACGAGCATGCTCAGGGGACCGGAGCACCTCCTGTATGAAGACAGGCTGAGAAAGTTGGGGCTGTTCAGCCTGGAGAAGAGAAGGCTGCGTGGAGACCTCATAGCAGCCTTCCAGTATCTGAGGGGGGCCTATAAGGATGCAGGGGAGGGACTCTTCATTAGGGACTGTACTGATAGAACAAGGGGCTAGTTTAGACTGGATATAAGGAGGAAGTTCTTTACTGTGAGCGTGCTGAGGCACTGGAATGGGTTACCCAAGGACGTTGTGAATGCTCCATCCATGGCGGTGTTCTGGCTGGGTTGGACAGAGCCTTGGGTGAGATGGTTTAGAGCGAGGTGCTCTTGCCCCTGGCAGGAACCTTGGAACTTGATGATCTTTAGGTCCTTTCCAACCTTAACTATTCTATGATTCTATGAATTCTATGATTTCACTGAAGTTTGCATCTCCCTATATGACAGAACCAGGAATGCTTGCCTCCAGATTTTCTTGTGCTGCTGGCAAGCAGGGTCTCATGGAGCAGAGCAGCTACAATTTCAGAGGGTGCAGATGCCTTTTTTTCTGGCAAGTGCAAAAGGCAGGAGACCCTCCCTTAACCTTTTCTTCTGTTAGGAGACTGGCCTGAAGGCCAAATCAGTCAGTAGGGCTTCCAGAGCATATTAGGGCTTCTGCAGATATTAAGCTGGTTTTTAGGTGGAAGAAGAATTAAGGCTTGCCATTGCTGCTGGTGAAAAAGAAACCCTCAAAACTCTTAAAAGTGGTTTTAACCAACACAGTACTGCCTTCTGACAAAGTCTGCATTTTTAAAGTCCTTCAGCATCTGCAAGAGAGACTCTGAACTTGAAGCATTGGTCACTTACCTAAACCTTCCTATGTCATGCAAAAACAATACACAACCCCCCCAAAAGTAATTGTTTCAATGCCAACAACATTAGCCCTGGAAAGAGGGAGAGAGCATCAGCAGGTGAGAGCTGAATGTTGCAGTTCAGGAAAATGGCCTGGGGAAAGGAAGGGAAAACAGGACAGAAAAAGACAGGAAGAAAACTAAAAATGCTTCAGCAGCATCGACTTAATGATTAACTTGTCTGTCTGTTTGATAAGGCTGAATGCATTGAATATCATATAGAGCAAATTGTACATATAGGTAGAAAATCACCTATCAGTTTTTTACCCCTGGATAGCCTCTATCTTCAGTATATTTATGCTGATGATTATGTTTAAGGCAGAAATAGGCAACTTCTGTGTGACATTGTGAGCAACCTCAGTGGAAATGCCACAGCACAACAAAGAAAGTGTAGGGTTATAGATATGCAGTCCAGATCACAACTGAAAAATAAATTCAGCTTTATTAAAGCAAATTCTCAAGGAGTGGTCTAGCTTTCATATGAAGAAGGTACATTTCTCCTCTTTCTCATGGACTAGAGAAAGCTTTTATTTCTCTTCCCCTCAATGGGGACATGAAATACCCAATGCATCGCAAAAGCAGAAGCCTCAGAAGCAGTGTAGGTTTCACAGACAGCGTTTTCAGTCAGCTCTCTCCTCAGCCCGCCAGATGCAACCATGCCAGCGTACAGAGTGTGGCTGCCAGTCGGCTGGTTGTAGTCAGCATGTAAATTGCCTCCATGGCAATTTCAACACACTCCTTTAAATTTCTCAGCCTGAGTTTTGTTTTCCGTTATTAAGGTAGTTGCTTCAACTCATGCGACCAAATTCAGCAGATCTCTTTTAATCTTCCAGAACTCCACACACATACTCCCCACATACTCATGAACACTGGTTTTTCCTGCCCTTTTCCACTCCCTCACTGTACCAGACTGTTTCCTTTACTTGCATATTTAGGAACAACTCAGAACATGTAGCTTTGTATTTCTTGCAGCTAATTTTTATGGTGACCCAAACAAATTTCCTGTTATCAGTATGCTCTGACGGCTCAAGAACATGACCAAGTTCTCACTGCCCAGTGAATCCTTGCATGTCATTTGAGCTGTAATAAGGGACTGTGTGCACACTGTCGGGCTGTTGCAAAAATGAGCTTGCACGTAATAGCTTTAACCCCAGTGAAAGACAGCAAAGCTGAACATGTCTTGCCTTGTGTTTGCCAAGGAGTGAGGATATGCTGGAGTAACTTTCCACAGCCCAGCTGTTGCTTAGGTCCTTGGTAGCTCAGTTGTGCATTTTGATCTCAGAAACCCTGGAGCTGATTTTGTTTCAAAAGAAAAATGAACAGGGGACTGGAACAGGAGAAATGTGCAATTAAAACAGGAGGAGCACAGGGAGCCTGCACAAACACCCTTATCTTCACTGTTAGTGTTCTCGCTCACGACACCCTGTCACAGGCTTCATCTTCTCCCAAAACATCCAGCTGGTTTCCAACCCCCTCCAAAAGATTCACAACAAAAGCCCCTGACCTTCCAATCTCCCTTTCATTATCCTTGAATCTGTAACTTCCTTAGGAGCACTACCAAGCCACCACCAGTGTCTGAAGAAGATTCAAAGAACTAATTTTTCCTTGAAGCACAATGCCCATGCACCCCCAGATAATATGAGCTGCCTTTTCAAGTAGATAAGACTAATGAGAAACCACTCTAAGTATGTTCCTTCTAACCCACACACACTGTCCTAACAAATATAGCAGGACATTTAGTCCTCTCCAGTGAAAGTCTGAGATGCTGATAACATGGACTATTTCTAAACCAGTACTTTTGGATACTGAGCTGCCCAGTACTGCCCAGTACTGTTTTCTCTCACATACCCTTGTAAATCAGGTGCAAAACATTTCTGAGACCTCTAGTGCCATGCAACAATAGTTTGGTTTAAGGACTTACTCCAGATCATTGTAGCATACATGTGTTTTTCCTCCTGTACTTGTTCTGAGCTTGATTATATTATTTTTCACTGGAGCCAAAGTCCCAGTTCTCTTCTAATAGCCCTGGCTGCCACTTCCAGTATCAGCCTATTGCTTCTCAGTTGTTTGCATATTTGTGCATTAAACTGACCTACATCTCTCCCTAGGGAGTGGGCAGCAGATGGTCCCTAGGCCATCTGGCATCTCAAGATGCTGCCTGAGTGGTTTGTGGGTCACAGAATTGGGAGATGCTGGTTGCTGGATGAAGTGTGCAGCTGAGCTCCCTAGGGAATGCTCTTCTTGTTTGTATAAACAACTTTGGGCCAATGTGAGTTGGCTCAGTAACATGCAGAAAGTAGTTCAGACAGGTTACTAGCAATGATAACATTTGTTTGGGAACTACTCGGATCAGGGGGACAGCTACACTAGCAATCTCCATTAGTATTGCCACCCCAATGGGAGAGGCTGGTCAATTCACTGGAAGGTCACCACAGTGGCTGGGGCTGAAGCACTTGTCCCATAAAGAGAAGCCAGAGAAGTGGGATGTTCAGCCTGGAGAAGAGACAGCTTTGGAGGCCCCCAAACTGCAGCCCAATCAAGAAGACAGAAACTGGTTCTTCATAGGGGTGTAAGGTGTGAGGACAAGAGGCAATGGGCGGAAACAAGGGAAGCTCAGGCTAGGTATAAGGAGAAACTTCTTCAGTATGAGGACAGGCAGGCAGGAGAACAGGCTTCCCAGGGAGGTTATGCAGTCTCCATCCCTGGAGAATTTTAAGATCAATGTAAAGCCCTGAGAGACCAGAATGATCACAGCTAAGCCTGCTTGGAGCAAGAAGTTGAACTAAAGACATCCTGTGGCCCCATCCAGCCAGTGATTCTATGATTAAAATGCAGACTGGTTTCTAAAAAATCCCAGGTTCACATCATGGAAAGCCATCCCAATCTTTCTGGTACTGACAGGAAAATCAGACCAAATTTGACCAATCCATAGTCAATACAGACAAATTTCACACAGTGCAATGCATCAAGACATTGAAGGATTAAGACTTAATTTTGAAGAGTAGCAGCTGTGTACAAATCCTTCCTTTAGTTTCTGAGGGCCCTAGTGGTGAATCTCTCCTGTTATCTCTGCTGGAGCAGGGAATAGCCAACATAGCTGGCTTACGCGGCCAGACAGCCCGCAGCCTCCCAGCTCGCCTATCAGAGCCGGTCCCCTGCAAAGCACGCATTCAGTCTCTGCAGTGTTTGCTCCTGCTGTGTCATTCTGTCCTTCCCCCCTCTCTTGGTCTTCCCATCCCTCTTCCCTCGGTGGCAGAATTAAAGTACCAGTGTCCTGTTGCTGCCGTGCCCTTGTCTGAGCTTTCTGCTTGACTTTTTTTCTCTGCTCAGCTCTCCTCTTTGCTCCGGTAAGTCTGATGAACAGCTTTCTTGCTGTCACTGTTTGGTGGCATGGTGCAAGGGCTTTAATCTAAGTAAAGTACTTACTTTTGAGACTCTCAGACCACATTTTCTAGGAATAGCCTTAAAAGCCCGTGTGATGTGTGAGAAAAACCAGCAAGTATCTCAGGCTGTTGGCGAAAGTAAGAAGTGCTTCTCTGAAGAGAAGCTGACTTTGGTAGAGCTTGCCTTTAAGTAAGACTGGGGCTATAGCTGACTTGTCACAAGAGTAAGTGATCAAGACTCAGGTATGGCATGAGAGCTGAGGCAGGGGACTTCAGAAAGTCTTTGAGTCTGGTTCTTTCCATGCCTTTAGAAAAACCTGCCATGAAGCCTCCAAATTTTTGTTCAGTTTCGCACTAGAAAACTGTGCATAAATCATAAAGGTTTTCAAATGTAGCACACAGTTGATAAAGCTGATTTATCTCCACTTTCTGAAGTAATACACGGGACAGTGCCTAGGCTATAATAAGGCATTTGTGACTTTCTGGAGGGTAACTGGAGCTACAGCAGTGTGGGCCATTCCAGAGCTTCATGTTTGCCGCTTTGAGGTGTTACTGTAGTAAAGTCTGGTGTTATGTAGAGGTAAACTCTCAGATTTTATCAGCATATGCTGGCTGGGCCAAGTATATGGAATGCTTTGTTTTAGAGAACTCTGTGTGTGTACGAGAATTTTGAGCGTAAAGTGCTAAATACCAACACCCATTTTAGAAGCGCTTAAAATAACTCCTGGCTGCAGAGCAGGTGCCATGTGTCCTTCTGCTGGATACATGGGAGGCAAGAGCTAAATATAGTCCAGTCTGTAAACCCCCATAACTTCAAGCTGCAAGAAGGGAAGGAGAAAGCAAATCCCAGAAAAGAAGGAAGGGGAATCACTCTGTTTAAAAGAAGATAAACAAAACTCTGCAACAGCACGCAGGACAATCTGCAAGAGAAGCTAAGGACATGTGTTCTGTGCTTTGTCCATGGCAGGATGGTGCCTCGCAGCAAGGTCAGCGCTGGGGGTGCAAGGGGTGGGCTGACACAGCCCAGCACAGGCATGGTTTTCCCAGCAGCAGAGGAATGGCTGCTGCAGCTCTGCTAAATCAGGCACTGGTTCTTGCTGACTGACCTTTTACTTTGGAAGTACTGGCTGATTTCAAAGCAGAGAGAAGGTAAATTGTGCCCTAATGTGAAATGTTAAGGGGTACAGTCAGTGACAAATTAACTCTGCATAGTACCAGGCTGAGCTTAGCCGCCCACCTTTCTCTGCTGCCTTTGAGTGCAGCTGTGGCTGTGTTGTGTGCTCAGGCCGCCCGGGTTTGTGCCACCGGGGCCAAACACGGCTGCTGCTGCGAGCAACAGTCTCACTGAGGGACTGCAGGCATGGCCATGAGTCCTCCTACAGAAGGGCATCAGCCTGGGACCAGTGTAACCTTCCACTTGAGACTGGAGGTCACCTGTGCCCCAAGGAGCTCCATTCCCTCCTGGGTTATCCCAGAGGAAGGAGGAGGATGGAGAAGAGCCTCCCCCACAGTGGGGAGGCCGAAGCACCCTCTGACTCTAGGGGGTGTTTCCACTGGAGGAGGGGCATAGTGACTATCTGTGGCAGCAACCACAAGGGACTGGGATCAAGTTTCAATCCAAGACACTAGGGCCCTGAAAGAGGCTGATCTCAGGCTGTGGAACAGGTCCAGGGTTTGGGACTGCAGGGGGAGAACAGCAAACAAGGTGCAATGCTCAGTCTTGGTCAAATAACTGGTCAGTCCCCGCAACCCTTGCCATAAAAGAGTATAAGGCTGTGTTGGAAATTCAGGTGCCGGTAGACAACTGTAAGGGTAGCAGAAGTCACAAACTTCAGGAGGTGGATAGTCTAAAATTGGGCAGGTCTAAAATTCCTGGAGGAACCAAGGAATTCCTCTTCTGGGCTCAGTCACCTAATTTTTCAGCATTACTGTGTCTAAGATAGCATATAATGTAAACACTTTGTGTGTTGCTGAGATTGGCACCAAAAGTCTTTTATGACCTGATAAGGAAGAATTTCTGATATACATCAAGGTTAAACAGGCTAGAGGGCTAGGACAACTGGGGCCAATAGCAGTAAAGTCTCCCAGCATTAAAGGCTGTAAGTGAGCTGGTTTCAGCAGATGAGAGCTGCCCTGTCTCCGTAAATGGAAACTCTGTGAGGCATGGAAGCCATTATGCAAAACATGGTACAGAAGTCTTAATAGGCGTAATGTTGGTGATTAAAAGTTGTTATCAGTCATCTGCTTTAGCCTGGAGAAGAATGGAACAAAATGTTAAAATACTAATTTTAATGCATGCAAATACAGTCCCTGGTATGACCCTCAGGTTGGCACCCTTGGGTTAAAGGTTCATTGCTGGGTATTTCTGTGGTTCCTGCCCACTCACCATTCCATGCTGGTGGCCTGAACCTCAGCAAATGTGAACTGCCATCGTTTTAGAAACTGATTATAACTAATCCCTTTCTAGCCAGTAATGTATGTTAGAAAAGGTTTCCTGCAGTGCCTGCTTTTAAACATCTTGTGTCCTTGATTCTAAACATCCAGTTTCTCCTTCATTCACCCATGGTTTTCCCTTATTACTGAGAAACACTGTGCATCGTTTGTTGCTATTGACTTAAAAGCCTACTGTGTTTGCAGGCATGCTTCGTGATTCATGTAGGAGGAAACCATTAGCTGGACAGTGCTGCTCCATAAGCAATGCAGTTGGGAGTTGGGAGGCAGCCAAGGGAGAGAGCCGGGGTGCAGTGAGAACTGCATTGACTTGTGCCTTCTCACAAAATGGGGGAGATAGCTGGAAGAGAAATTAATATTTGGAAATGGAGCATTTAGTGATCCTGTTCTCCTTCTGTGATGAATGCTATGACAAAAATAGCTAGTTTAAATTGGGAATATACTTTGTGAGACTTTTGTTCTGTCTAGACAAGAGCTGGTGATCCTGAGATTTTTAGCTGCTTGATTGCCAATTAGCTCAAATTACTGAATACAATTGTAAACATTAGTCTGAACATGTCAGAAATAATCATATATTTTGTGGAGCTTCTAGTTTAGCATTTACAATAATCTTACTGACCTTGAATTATTTTGCAGTCAATTAACTTCAGTTAAAACAAGATCACAAACTAGTCTTACACCCATGCTATCTCGAATTATTTACCTAAATTGCACATGTAGGGTCTAATCTTTCAACGTAAATTAAACTCAGTAACATCAAATCAGGTGGATGTAATTTCACAATCACTTTGCAGTGATAAAATGACCATGTCACAAGCAGGAAGGAACGAATGGGATGAGTCTGTCTGGCAGGGTCTGTGAGATCAGGTCCAGACGTCTTCCCAAGCATTCCTGCTGGCAAGTTGTACCTTTGGAAGAACTGCAGGGGTATGAATTTACAGCTAACAGTTTTCACGCACATCTTGACCCCCACTCAAAGCCTTCAGTTATTTGCTTGAGACATGATAACCATAATATTTGACTGTATTGCCTGTATGCCCAGTCAAATAGCTAGACAACTTGAAAAATGTTGCCTTAGTGATGGCTATCACTGTGCTTCCAAATATCACTTTGAGTGAAAAGAGTTTAATAACAACCACTGAGTCATGTATTACAGTAAATTACATCTCTCTTATCATAGACTGTCTTTGGACAAGTGAGTTTATGATTTTGAAAGCTGTAGAAATTTACACACCATCCACAAACAGTCAGAGATGCTGTTTCTGCTGGCACACACCTTGGAGGAGCTGGGAGCAGGTGCCTGAGACACTCTCACTGACACCCTTATCATCATGTCCTGGGTAAGCTGGAGGAGCCTCCAGAGGAGCACAGACAGAATGGGGACTCTGTATTCATCTGGCTGAGTGCAGCCACTCAAAGACGTGAGAAAACAGAAGCTTCCCTTTGCAAACTGGGAACAAGTAAGCTGAAATTCACCCCAGAAAATACCAGACTATCAAAATCATGTTACGCCCAGTCAGTTTTACCTTGCTATGATTTATTCTATATTTTGTACTTTGTCAAACAATCTGTCAACAGCAAGCATCAAGTACAAAAGAAGAGTGTGTTATAGCTGCTTATCTTGTTCTTAGCCATTATTGTGACAGTACCAAGCCAGGCCTCTTGCAGATCAAGCACCATGCTGGGCTCTCCAAGACCACAGAGCAATATTCAGTGCACAGGTTTCATTTAAAATATTCCTCTTTTGTACTTATTGATTTAAGATGTGCCGATGGGAGAAAAATGGGAATTGAAATTGATACAGCTGTGAAGTGAAGCTGCTCATATTGGTAGACAGTGTTGCAGGTAAACAGATCAACAAAAGTAAACATGTGGCAAATCGTATGTTTGGGGAGGGAAACGGTATAAATGACGCCAGTGTTATTTTGTGTGCCATCACTGGCAATGGGAATAAGAGGTTTTGATTTTCAAGTATTAGATTTGGGCAGGCTTTTTCTCTTGGAACGTATGTAGTTTGCTTTTCTCCCTGCAGGCAAATCACCTCAGTTGTTTATTTAAGTGTGACGTATTTATCAAGCCAGAGCCAACAGATGAGCTGCCATCCCAAATTCCACACAAAATCACTCAGGTGCTGGCCAGCCTCTGGGAACAGCTAGATGACTAATTCTGTGTGTTTTTAAACTAATCCTCCATTTGTTTGCTGTCAGGTACAGCACCAACCATGGAGAATGACCAGCCTCCCACCTCAACTGGGCAGGACATCCAGGGGCAGAGAGGGGATAAATCTGCCCCTGGCTCTCAGGCCCCTGATCCAGCACCCATGGAGCAACCAAATGCCTGCCCTGAAGCAGCTGTGTGTGATATCTCAGAGGAGCTGAGCCGGCAGCTGGAGGACATTATTAAAACCTATGGGTCTGCTGTGAGCCTAATGGAGAAGGAAAGTGCCACTACAGGAACTGACAGGCCTGAGAAGGGAGAGCCAGGCAGCATGGAGGATGCAGAGTATGAAGATGTAAATGAGGAGAGTGAGAAAGAGAAGCTGGCTCCTGGGGATGCTTCCAGAGCAAAAGAAGCCAGTGGCAGCAAGGAGCAAAAGCTAGAGAAGAAAATCCTGAAAGGACTAGGCAAGTACTTGCATACTTATACAGCCCTTCTGTGAACAGAAGTAAAAACTCCCTGGTTCTTGCTTTTCCTAGTGTTGAGCTGCTGCTATGGATGATACAGACCTCTAGTTACCACTGAAAATTACAGCGGCTCTTACAACCTTCTTCTAACTGATAACTATCTTCAGCAGTTACCCAACAGATACATGTAGGCTGTGTCAGATATTATTCCTTTTAAAAAGGCAAAATCTTTGGATTATCTCACATAATTCTGATGTACTATTGGGCTGCCCAAACTAGTTAGCGAAAGCTATGAGTCTGATGACACACTGTGCAAGGCTGCCTCTTAGACAAAGGAAAACCTGGCCTCTTGCTTGTGCCTCAGTAAATTTATTTCTTCCCCTGCTTCCTCAGGTATTATTTATTACCGGTTATAACGGTGTTAATGGTGCTACTATGTGGTGTGGAAATCTGCAGAGCAAATTCACTGTTATGCCCGAGTTGCCTTTCCTCTAGCAGACCTCCAGACTCATCACAGACTATATGAAATAAGCCAATAAGCTTATCTTCTCTAAGTACAGTGCGTAGAGAGCAGCTCGGCTATGGCAGGGCTCTGTTAGCTGAGCTGGAAAGAAGTCTCAGATTTTTGTAACGTCCTTCCTACTGGGCAGCCGCTAGAGAGCAATGTAGCTACATCCGATCTTGCAAACGCAAGTCATCTGCCTTTCTGCATTTAACTCAGGACAGTCTTCAAGCCTCTACTTCACCAGACAACCCAAACCCAACAGCAGACTAATCCTATGGGAAAAATCACTAAAGGACGTTCTTACAGACAAGGGATTAAGCATAGGACAGAGCAAGGATTTTTTTTTTTCCCCGAATTCCTTGAATATCCAGGAAAAGAAAGCTAATCAGCTTCTACTGGTTTGGGTTTGGTGCAGTTGTTGGTACCTCTCTACTATCAGTGAAAACACTACCAAAGCTCAGTTTTCCAGCTGCAGTTGCAACAGTTTTCGCTCCAGGGTTTTATTTAAGCTCTTTTCAACTTGTTTATACTGGTGCGGTAGCAAGAACTGAGTGTGAAACAGTGGATTTTCTTCACAGGCAGTATTCCTGAACTGCGTTAGGCCTGAAGCAGAATGAGTCCAACATAAAGCAGAAAACAAATTTGCTCTCGCAGCTTCAGGAAAGAGGATCATATAGGAAAGACCTTTCAAGCCCCAGCCATCCTTATCTCCAGGGACACCAGGGAGATTTTGTATTTGATGAACAAATAGTGTTCAAGTTTAAGCTCTTACGCAGGGCTGGAATGAATACCAAGAGGTATCAGAAGAGAAGCAATGCATAAATGGCTATGTAGTGATTTAGCTATGCATGCCCAGATAGTTATTAGACTGTCTCTGGTACCTGTACTGTCTTTGTCAGGTCAGGGAACTGATTGCACCCCTATCATGTAGTCCACACCTGGCTGGCAGTAACTGCTTCTCTGAGTGTTTCCATCAACACCACAGTCTTCATACCTGACTTAATCTTCCTCATGTCTTGTATGGGTTGAGCAGCACAGGAGCTGAGTACACCAGCTTTGATCAGTTTTTGCCTGCAAATAGATCTGGTTTCAGAGTTTGCATCCTGTTTCAGTCAAATGTGCCATATATGTGATCCAGTAATGTCGCAAAAATATTAAATGAAAATCAGATTATACAGGACAAAGACATTTCACAGCCAGTTCTTTTGCTAGAAGACAGCCCATTACTGAGGTCTGAAATGGAGGAAGATTCAAGCATGTTTGTTCATACAGGGAGAAGAAAAATCCAGAAATTTGTTGCAAAATTTATTCCTTCCTTCCAAAATACCTCATTTCTCATGGAGTTTTTACAGATCCATGCATCAAACAAACAATTTCATAATAATACATGAGCTACAAACTACCTCTACTATCACATCTTTGCTGCTTTTTTTATTTTTAAGGGAAGGAAGCCACCTTACTGATGCAAAGCTTGAACAAGCTGAATACTCCAGAGGAGAAGCTGGACCTGTTATTTAAGAAGTATGCTGAGCTGGTTAGTACAGCATTGGTTCTTTTCTGTGCAAACTGTCTATACAGGAAGGTATAAAAAGCATATGCTATGTAGTGTGGTCAAACCTCATGTAGTTATACCGTCTGTGCTGGTAGTTATATCCCAAAATAATTGTCAGGGTCAAATAATCAATTATGGGTGAGAAGGAGAAAGAAAGTAAAACATGAGGAAAACAAGCTGGACTTTGGGTTAAAAAACTGATGAGGCAGAATATTTGTACTTAAAGGCAATTCTAGTAAACCAGCTCACACCGGAGACTAGTGTCTCGGCTCCCGCCTCCCCCTTCTGCAAGGAGTTTTACATACCTCTGCATGCGAGCATTGCTTTAAACTGTGTATCAGTGATTTAACCAAAATGAAAATAAATCAGAGCTTAGTAGAAAATGTTAGAGAGCAGAAGATCAGAAAACGCAGAACTGAGGCTGATCATGACAGAAACTACAACACAGTGAAATGAAGAGTCAAAGCCCTTGCCACCATGTCACCTCTGTAACACTGCCACCTCCCTGACTCTATTCTTTCCCTACTCTATTCTTTCCATAAGGTGGGTTATTTTCAGATCAAGTGTTTTCTTCTACTTAAAGGGCTGTATGGCCTTAAGCTGTGGAAATCTTACAAATGAGAAGACTGCAGCATTTAACAGTATGTGGAGTGCTGAAAAATGTGCTAAGCAGAACACTGACTTTGTAACTGGTTTTATGCACAGATGTGTCCATGCCTCATCATAGTGTGAAGTTCAGCTTTCCCTTTTTTCATGTAAAATCCTCTGATTTCATAATATGATCTCAGGCTGTTTATGGTTTAGCTCATGCTTAAAGGGACTTCATGCCCACAGATTAACTGAAATGGGTCTTCTTCATCTGTAATGTACTCTCCACTGCATTCAAATATCACTGAAGCACTTTATAAAACAGGGGCCATATTGCCCTGTGGGAGAAAGGTGCTAAAAGAAAATACCGAGTATTCATTTTTGACATCCTGGGCAATGTGACTAAATTAAACCACTTGATAAATACAACTAAAAGCTTGTTGGATAAAACCTGAAACTGCTTACTTAGCATGGCTGAGGGGTGTACTGTGGTTAACAACTTATCAGCAGTAAGCTGCAGTAGTTATCACTCTTTGCTCCCTCTTATTATCCCCATCACACACTTCAGGTCACTTTTTACCTTTGCCGCACTGTTTTCCAACTGGGTCAGCTCACTGGCTGGGTGAACCCTGTGGTGACACAAACACTTATTGCAGCACAGCTCAGGGGAAGGTGCAGCCATGTGCAGGCTGAGCTGGGTGCTGGCAATGGCTTCAGCCCTGTTAGTGCTGTTACTGCTAGCTGTGGTTTAAGATGATCTGCTCAGGCACACTATGCAGCACCAGCACTACCCCACAGACTATATACTGTTTAACTGTTAATACAAGCCCCGGCACAATCTATAGCAAGGGCTACCCCAAAAGATGGAAGTCATCAGGGAAGGCAGGGCTAGTGTGAAGGAAGCCATGCCTGCAGGGACGGGAAAGCAAGATAGCATAGCCCTTTGGGTACCAGCTGTGCCACACTTCTTGCCATTATAGAACATTTTATTCACTAATACTGATGTAGGCAGAATGCTTGGGGCTAGTAAAGCAGGCTGTGCTTTACCTCAGCTTTTTTCTACAAACAGCTGTTGCAGAATTGCTTGTAACCAGCTTATTTTCAGTGGTCCTGAGGGTCTCGCAAGTGCTGGGTGCAAGAACTATGCCCTAATAAATAAAAGTGTTACCATTGTCTTCAGTGAGATCAAGATAAAACTTTTTTTCTTAAGTGGAGAGTTCACCTCTCTATGTCAGCCTTCCAAAATCAGAATTCCTTCTATTTGTAGTTAGGTTTAGCCAACATTAATTATTCTTAAAAATTTATCATTGGTGGCCCTTTTGTCATTCCTGTTTACCAGTGAATTCCCTTCTTCAGTGCAAAAGTAAGACTGTGTCTGAGACATTCCTGAGAACTTTAAAATACAAGCTTTTAGCACAAGTCATTTCTGTGGGGGGAAAAACAAAAAAGCAGAAAATGTTTGGAAGACTTCTCATATCACAATTAAGACCTACTTTATTCTAAGCCCCATATCTCACACAGCTTGAGTGAATCCTCTCAGATTTGTATAAATCATTATCCACTCAGCACAGGCTGCACATGCAAAATAGGAACCTTTTTGTGTGTTTTTGAAAGGGAAAAGGCCAAAATCAAGCTTATAAAGGAAAACAAATGTCAGCCTTCATTACAGAGAAGCTATTTTTTCCCTACAATACTAGAAATATTATTTCAGCTAGTGCGGCTTGATTAGATGCAAAAGCCCCTGTTCTGATCTATTGGGGTAAAAACACACAATTACACATGCTGAAAGTTGGGCATAAACTGTAAATATACTCCAAGCTGCTGATTGCATTGTTTCATGGCATGCCTAGCTGTGATTTGATTGATAATACACACAGCTCTGTACTGTAAGTATAAATTACAGAACATATGCAGAAAATAAAACCTCAGGCAGAGAAAGTGTAATATATGATGGCTGTTGACCTTGTTTGAGCTACACATCATTCCCCTGCACTCACAGACTTTCCCAGTCATACCAGGGTTAATAATACTAGTGGTACCATATTGCTAGATGATGTAGTCTTAACAGCAGATGTTATTATCAAGGTTTGCACACTGCAGCTCATGTGCTGATATTTTTCAACCAAAAAACATCTGAACTTCAGAAATATCTCTCAACGCATGCATGCCTGTAATACAGCAAGGAGGGCTGCTGTGTTTTGGAAAGGGAGAAAATCTGTAAAAGCTTCAGAGGTGAAATGCTTCTTTGATGTGACTGTTATGGTGTTAATATGTAATGCAGGGAATTTTTCCAAAACAGGCAGTAACAGGCATATGCTAGAAGTGACTGTCCTATGTGGGGACTGGTGTTAGCAATTCTGTTGATGCCCCTCATTCCCCTTCCAAATACATCCTCCTCCCTGCCAGCTGTCTGGGGAAGGCAGGACCCATGCACCCACAGGAACAGCAGGTTTCCAAGTGAATGTCAGGGATTGTCCATGTTTTCTTTAGCAATTATATGGAGCCAAAGAGCCCAAAAGAGGTTTGATTCACCGTAACCCACCTGCATTGTTGATGGCAGCTCCAGAAACACAAGTGAGGAGTGCTCCCATGTGCTCCTGTGAGGAAGAGGAGCCTGGGAGGAGGAGGTGCCCACTCATCATTTTGGGGAACACTTCCCTCCAGAGCATTCTCCTCCATCAGCAGCAAAGACCCCACACAAACAGCATCCCTGGTTTCCAGCACCAATTTGCTGGAAGCTGTTTCTTTTTCAGGAAGCTGCAAAACCAGAATGAGCAACTCCTGCGTTGTCTCATGGTGTGGAGAAATCTCACCAGCCGCTCAAGTTCCTAACATTGACACAGATAAAAACCTCACGGATGTCCTTCAAAGAAGTTCAGACCAGGGAAGAAAAGGCTGAAATGGTGTGACAAGAGTGTAAAAATTATGTTCACCCACCCACACTACAGCACACTTGGGACTGTTGCAGCAGCGGGCTTGCAACTCCCTTCAGGTCACTCTCTCCTCTCCCATTAGTGCTGATAAAAACGGAACATTTCCTAAGCGGTTAAGAAAGTGTAAAGAGTTTCCTAAACCCAAATGATCTAGATTTCTTTCCTCTCCTGTCTCTATTTCATTTTAATCCTTGTTCTTTGCCCAGCTTGAAGAACATCGTGCTGAGCAAAAAAAGCTCAAGTACCTGCAGAAGAGGCAGGCCCAGATCACCAAGGAGAAGGACCATCTACAGAGTGAGCACAGCCGAGCCATCCTCGCCCGCAGCAAGCTTGAGAGCCTGTGCCGGGAGCTCCAGAGGCACAACAAAAACCTCAAGGTGAGTAGTGGCCTTATCAAGATACCTGGCAGGGGGGTAAAAGACGATGCTGCTGCCTTCCATCTTGCTCTAGTACCAAAACAAAGAGACATTTTCAACTGCACATGCAATATATAATTATGCATATGCTGTAGATTTGAGGCCCATTTATACCAAGTCGTCTTTATTTCTTGCTTGGAAATAGCCAAGCATTTTTGGGTGTTGAGTTTGCTCACATTAGCTGTAAGTGCCCGTTGCATTATAAGGGAGCCCAGCACAGAGAAAACCAGTGGTGCTAACAGACCAGGCCATGGGACTGCAAGTGTGAAGAATAACAGCTTTGCTCCAGGGGACTTACTGAAGGCTGGGCTATGTTTTCATGTAATTTGAGCAGTTGGGCATTTTCAAGTGATGTGTGAGGGTCAATCAGGACATTCACCTAAAGACATCAAACCTCAAGAAAAGAAGAATGCCAGCTCTGTTTGTAGAAGTTGTTTGGATTACAAGAATCAGTTCAAAAAGGAAATTTTCAGGAGTGTCAAAAGGCTGGGATCCATATGCCATGTCTTGCCTGTTGCTTGGTGCATCACACCATTTAAATGTGAAATTTATAACATGATTATACTTCTTGGAAAACTTTAGGTTCAAGAAATATATTTCTGTTGTGATCCTTCTTTTTTCCCGAGTACATGTTAGTGATGGTGGTGGTATTATTATACAAAATCCTCTGCTTTGATCTATTCAAAATCCTTCCTTATGGGGATATAGTTATGTACAAAATTACACATATAAATTGTCATGAGCAAGAATTTCACCTGATATAACCTCTATTAAGTGGAATGGATTTTCATCCATTTTCACCAGCTCAGGAGCAGGCCTTCAGAGTGTAAATCTGACTTCTATTGTACATTGGTAAGAATATAGCTGGGAGGGGGAGCAGCCACATATACACTCAAACTGTGCACCAGTAGAAGGACAAAAGCAGTATAAGAGAGAGATAGGAAAACTAGAAGCAGATCTCTGTGTGCTCAGTTATAGTAGCACAAAACTGGTAGTGCCAATTAAATTTGTGTCTGTCATTGTACCAGACCTGAACCATACACCTTGATATTGATCCACATTGATTTACCGGACTTCCTTTGGGCAAAATCTTTCAATGGAGATACAAGCTAATTTTTAAGTCATTTAAGAGAACAGTGTACAGTGCTTTGCATAGACTTAACTGAGATTTCTAAACAAGCCATATAAGTGGAACAAAACAGTGGAAACTGGATTATAGAGAAAAAAAAATTACTATATTTGTAAATTTTTTTGGAACAGGACTTGTTGAATTCCTCACACTATTGCCCAGATACTTATTATTCTCACTTATTAATCTCACTACAGGAGTGCATGATTTTCCTCTCTCTTTGCATATAAATACTTCATTAAACATTTCATCTTTACATTTAGAGAAGCCTTTTTCCCAGCATCTTTTTGTTTGTTGGACTGTTTTATTTTGGGACTATGTCTCCTAAACAAACCTATCAATTTCAGACTCAGTTCTGGTTTTTATCCTGTACCTCTACCAGGTGAGCCAGGAAAGGTACCTGAGCTGATCAGGTAGCAGGAAGAAGTGTTCAAATTTTTGCCACTTCTTTCTAAGAACTTGGAGACTTTCCAAGAAACCCAGAATATTAGCTTTCCTCTGGTTCCTATGCTTTCAGTGTAAAAAAATCCATAATTAAATAAGACAGTAAGACAAAATAGACTTGTAGAATGAATGGGAATGTAAATTAATAAACAAAAGCATTCAATATTTTTATTTGGTTTTGTCTCTAAGAATTATTAACATAATTCTTGGAATATTCGCCTTTAAGCTTTAGCTCCTGGAGATCTGTGCGTCTCCAGAATCTCATCTTCTGTTTATTTAAATTAATACCAATTTCTTCCACTTATGACTGTACCGAGAGGGCCCAAAACAGCAGAGTCCATTAAATATTATTTTTAAAATCTTCTGCTTAAGTAACTTTTATTTTGGTTTTGGCAGGACTGAAAGCTGATTCAGAATTTTTTAACTCTTGGGATTAACACTTCTGATTATGCTCCAAAGTGTAGGAGATTCCGTCATTTCAATAGCAAAGGAGAATCTGGCCTGTCCAGATCACGAACCTCCTCTGATTTACCATGTGGTACATTATATGCACATCACGTCATGTAAATGTCATCTTCGCTCATCTGGTGTGTGGAATTCCCATTAACTGGATATCAGTGCAGCCAAGTGGTGATGAATATGCAGTGTGGATCTGCGCTGAAAATCCACAGGACAGATCAGAGAAGAAAAATTTCTGGTTAGTACTGGATACTGGCCTCAAAATCTGATTTATTTACAGCCCAGCTATCCAGATTATTTCCTTGCAGCTACACTTCACAGCAGAAAACAGATGTTTAATTCTCCTTCCAATAAAAGCGGAATAAATATTCGTGAAATAGCAGAATGTGTTCCCACTGCAATAGAGTAGCTCTGGTAAGACCAACAGCAACACCTTTTTCTGCATCGTATTCATGTTCTGTCAATTATCTGACAGTTTGGTGGTTATTTAGCATCTTGTAGTGACATGAACATCTCAGGTCCCTTGTCCTTCCTGCTATCAGGCATTAAGCAATGACTTTCATGCAAATGTTACGAAAGTCAACAGCTTTGATTATAGGCTCAGCTCCAAACTGTCTCAGACCATGATGCCTGGGAACAAAGAGAATGATTAATTGAAAATGAAGAGTCTGCACTCATATCATCTCAGCTGATATGGCTTCAGCAGACGAACAGTCTTCCTGAGTTGCCCCAAGGAGGCATGAGGACCAGAGACAATCCTGCCCTTCTGTTTGCAAATTATCACACATTCCCGTGATAAATCCCAAACTGTGGAATATCCTTGTCTTAATTTTGCAAGGTTTTATTCAATGCATTTTTATGTTTTAAGCAGTAGATCGCAAGACTGATAGCAGTACTGCAATAGGACACAAGAATCTTTGATACATCTCTGATAGGGTAGGTGTGGATCACAAAGACTAAGAAAGGGCAGAGGAAAGGCAATAATGGTTTTTGGTCAGACTTCAGTCTTCTGCAAGGAGAAATCTAAAAGAATTTTCAATGACTTCTTTTTCTCACTAAAACTGAACACTTGCTTTCAAACTATTAAGAGAATAAGCACAGAGTGAAGCAGCTGGCAAGGCCGATCATGGTTTGCAAGTTACGAATTCACCATGATGATGCTGAGTCACCACCCCAGACACCCTCTTGCTCCCTACACCCAAGCAAGCCAGGAGCTCTGGACTCTGCACAGTTATTTCAGCTTCTACAGCAATAGCACAAAACAAAACAGTCTACATGATGGCATCTTGAAATGGGAAAGACTAAGGAACTGGTTGGAAAAAGATGCATTTTCTCAGTTTACGGAGACAGGTATAAGCAGAGATGGGGCTGCAGCCTTGTGATAATAAAACTTGGGTGATGCCAGTGATTTGGGGTTTGCCAGACTGTGCCTGTCCAGTGAGGTGGGTAAAGCAGAGCTGGCACCAGAGCCCCAGAACAGAGCTGGCAGGGATGCAAAGCTCTGCTTGTGGCATCTGGGCATCTGACCCCCTCCCTGGCTCTAGTGTAGATGCAGCCTCAGGCATAGGCTTTTACAGCTAGTAGAGGCTCAGGTTTAAATAGACACCTCCAAAGACCTATTACTATTTCCAGGGTATTACCAGTAGAACCTAGAAACCTCTGACATTGAAACTTAGGGATCAGACACCAGCCTACCATCAGCTGGGTATTGGCAGCATTGGCATGGCAGAGCACTGGAACACAGAAGGTTTTGTTCCTTTGGGCAGGGAAGAGGCAATGCCTGCAAGTCCCTGCATAGTGCCTTAGCCACACAGTTGCCCTTCTGTTCAGACAGCTCTTCTCACCCACACCCACCCTTAATCTGCCTGGGATTTTAGGGATTTCAGAAGTCACTGCTGTTTTATGAGGGACTCTGAGGAGCCCTCTGGGACACAGCCAGATCCCCAAGCAAATATCTTCCTAAGATATCTTTTTCTCTGAAGCAGAAGAGGTCAAGAGAAATAATGTGCCCTGCAACTAAATGCTTCCTGGCTTAATGTCTTTAACCTTGAATATTTGTATTGTCTCTGTGCTGTGTAATTATTCTAGCTCAGAGGAGAGAATGAGGAGGAAATAAGATCCCCTGAGTAACACATGCACAGAGGTTTGGTTGGTTTTTCTTTTTCTTTTTTTTTTCCCCTACATTTCTGTGATTGCTACTCTAGGGAATGTCTCATTTCACCTTGTAACAGAAATGTTCAGTGTGACATGCGCACCATCCACTGATTTTTTTGGTTTATATTCAGCTGGATTTATTACTCCGGAGAGCTATAAATCACAGCAGTGACATGTTATAACACCATCTCATCCACTGGAACAATAAAGTACTTTTGAGGAAGGATGTTTTGAAGCCATAGAAATATGACTTCAGACATGCAAGTTCAATTTTTCACTCTGTCTTTGATTTCTTGATGTGAGAGCACCTGGTCATTCTTCTCCCTGCCAAGGGCTGCACCTATCCAATTGAGAACTAAAAAGCTTGAGCAGTTTTTCAAACAGTGTATTAGAGGTAAAATGGAGCTCTGACTTGACCAAAAGCTATCCAGGAATTCAAGTTTAATCTGGCAAAGTTTTGAACAAAAATAAAAAGGACCTGCTTGTAAACATACCCTTTCAAAAAAGAAATAAAAAATGTTTCATTTGGGAATGCTAAAGGAGCTGATTTAAAACACCTTCTAAGTAGCATTTTTAACTGTACTTTGGAACAGCATTTCTATTTCAATATTGCACTAAAAAGATCTAACCTTAAAGTGATTACAAACAACACAGCCCTATTTCTGGTCAAGCAAAATGTTTCAGGCTAAATTAAAATCATTCTCACCAATGTAAAAAATAAATAAATATTGGAGGGCTTCTCTTTCACCTTGCTGCAAACTTTGTGTGTGTCCAATTTCATCACAGGGACTGAACCAGGACCCCTCCAAGTCATTTGCTCAGCTCTATCTGAAACTATTTCTTCCACTTAAGAGTGAGAATCCTTCTGGGCTTACACTTTGTTTTACTCTGTCTGTGAGTACTCACATGTGTTCTTGTGTGAACTGAAGAGCACAGCAGGGCTTCTTGGTGATTTCTTTGCACTATGGTATTATTAGCACTAATGGCTCCAATACTTTCCTCCCCTCATCCAAGGTGTTGTCATCTCTGTCACTCCCTGGTGAGCTAAAGGACAAACATCCCCTGCCTTGAACAGCAGCTGTCCAAGATCAGGCTTGTGTAGTGCATGCTAAGTAGAGTTAGGGTCATTTGGTATTCATCTTACTTTAAGACACCTTTTAAGTCAAAATTATGATATAAATTATACCTCATTAGAGTCAGCTAAGGCTTTATTCAAGTACATTTATAGAAACTATCCATATGCAGTGTTACCAGAGATTTTTATGTAAATGACTACGATAGCTGAAACCTCATTAGAGTGTGCCATTTACATGCTGCAGAGTGGATTCTTAGCGTGATTCTGGCATGATTTGTAACTACAGCAGATACTGTCCTAGCCACTGCACATCAGGATTACATTCCACAGAAGGGCAGACTGCCCTGGAAGAAAATGAGTAGGGAATAAAACTAGTCCATATTTCTGGATCTAAAGCAATGAATCCAGATTCTTTCTGCATTGTCTTTTATATCCAAATCCAAACCAGAATTTCAGTAATTTTAAAGGAAAAAAAAATAATCTCCAGGGTTCTCCAGGCAAAATTCTGATTCTTTGCTTTGATTCTGTAAGAAACAGACCATAAGCTTTCCTTGATTGCATTACCTAATAAATCAGTGCAAATGCTGGTGTCACTAAAAAAACTAGGGAAGAAAGATTGAGGAATTGGGATGAATTCTGTGGAAAGTGATGGATTTCTCGTAAACATTGAAGTCCAAAAAACTATAAATTTGATATGAGGATTCCTAATTAAAAGGAGGCAATTTAAAGAGTGATTTTTTGATTCAATCAAAAAGAATTTTGATAAAAGTGCTTTTGACTACTTCCACTGAATATCCTCTTCCAAATCAAAAGCTGTGCTGCAGTATCATGAATCAAGACATGCATGTATGCCCCCTTTCCAGGCTTGCTTTGATCTGAAACTGCTCTACATCCATCTTTGTAAATGAAAATTCTTAGTTCCCTAATTTTTTCAAGGCCAGTATGTAATTTGCTCTGTAAATTTAGAATCATGCCTAATGCTGGAGCAGATGAAAGCAAGAAAATCTCCACAGAGGAATACAAACATGTATAATCCTTCAAAGGGAAGCATTAAGCTACTCTGAAACAGTATCTTTCTCGAACCTCTTATTATGTGTCTTACATGACTGCATTCTCTCCCATTTAACAACAGGAAGAAACAATTCAGCGGGCACGGGAGGAAGATGAGAAGAGGAAAGAAATAACTAATCATTTTCAAGGCACACTGAGTGAAATCCAAGCACAGATCGAGCAGCAAAGTGAGAGGAACATGAAGCTCTGCCAGGAGAACACAGAGCTTGCAGAGAAGCTGAAAAGCATCATCGACCAGTATGAGCTGCGGGAAGAGGTGAGAGCAATGCCCTGGCTGCCCACAGGGACAGGCAGCAAACCTGGTTTCACTGAGGGAAAGCAGAAAGCATTGCTAGCCTGTCCTTCCTGCTGGCTACCATGTCTCATGGAGATAACAAGGGCAGTACCCCAAGCTGGCCTATGCATGTAACAAGCCAACCAGACTCTGTGTGACAAACTCTGAGGCCAAGGGGTTGTGTGAACCAGCACCCTGCCTGCAGCAGCCACCACACCCTTGTCGCTCTGGGGACAGGGGCCAAGACACCCAAGCAGTGAGGAGTGCCAGCCGTCCCTGTCCCTCTCACAGCTTCCCCAAATCGCCAGGGATCTCCCCAGCTCTCCTTTCCTGCTTCCCCTAAGTCACCCCCAGAACACCTCCCAGCTGCCATCTTTTTGGACAGCCTGCTTTGTTGCTGATGCCAGGTACACTTGTGTTCCCTTCAGACACGAGTCTGATGGGCTCTGGTGTAAATGCTTTGACCCTTTCTCAGAAGCAGAAAATTAAGATGACAGATAAAGGAGGCCCTTTGCATTGGAATAGATTCTTTTTTGCAGGCACAATGCTCACCGTAAGATCAGGCAGATAATAGCCAGCTGGGAAATTATTCGTTCTGTACACATTAGAGTTGGTCAGAAAATTTTGACACAAAAACATCTCTTCAGTAAGATCCCAAACTACCTTTTTTTTTTAGTATTTTATGACAAATGCTAAAAAAACACCACAAGGGGTCTTTTTATTGTTTCTAAATACTTTTACTGTGAGCCTCAGTGCAATCAGACATTATCATACTGAATAAAACATAAGTAATCTGTCCTTAAAATATGGAATGCCCAATACAATACATGCATTACCAAATCTATTGAATCATTTATGAAGCCTTCTGCTGAATGAAGGTAATGTACGTTCCTGTCTTGTGGTTTCTGCTAGAAGAAGATGAAAAACAGAGGGGTGTAATCAGAATATTGGCTCCTATGAATTTTATATGAACGAATCAAAAGTGAATGAAGAGGTCTATCAGCAACATTTACCTCGCAAAGGTCACCATGAAGCCAGACATTATACAGGGCAGAAGATACCTCTGGCTCAGCTGGTTTGATCTCCACATCCCCACTCATGTACTTTCACCCAGGCCCTCCAAGCCCATGTTGTGTGTGTATGGCCAGAGCAAAGGGTGTGTACGGGGCTTGTACTTACAGAGCTGTGTACAGCAGGTGCAATGTATCTACATATTTATCTACACAGTGGCTTAGATCTGCTGGCCAGTTAACAGCTTAAAAAAGTGTCCCTCCTGCATGTTTTCTATTGATGAGCAATTATTTGATCTTCAGTTATATTGGATTGTACTGATGACTTCATATCTAGACTATGGAACTGGTAAAGACTCTAAAGTATTTTATTTTATTTTACTTTATTATTTTATTTTATATTCATAAAATAAATCAAAATAGGTAATGTAAACAGGTTTCTTTTCCCATGCAAATTCTGGCACAATTTGTTCTTGTCAGTGCTGTAGTTTTTTAATGATTGCAGTAGGGTGGGATTCTTCCTGTTTTGCAATGTTTTTTTCTTATGAGCGTTCCAGTAGACAGCTGTACGTGTGTGAGCATGAAGCTCTGTATACATAACTAAAGCTGCACATTCAGCAGAACTTATTTTCTTACAGCACCTTGATAAAATATTTAAGCACAGAGAACTTCAACAGAAACTGGTGGATGCCAAGTTGGAGCAGTCTCAGGAAATGATGAAGGAAGCCGAGGAGCGACATCAGAAAGAAAAGGAATATGTACCTGTCCTTCTAATCTGCCTGCCTCTTTCCTAACCTTAGGTCAAAATGAGCCCTGCATGCTATCTCACTAATGCATTGGTTCTTCGGGTCCGAGCTGGGTTACAGTAGCAGAGATGCTTTTATTGCTACTGTCAATGCTGAATGTAAAGAAACAGCATCTGAAAGGCTGCTTCCATTGCCATTTACAGATTTGGAAGCTAACTGCAGAGTGGTAGGTTAGAGCACAGACTGCTCTAGCTAACTCAGCGTTACTACACAGTTGAATCATCATGATTGGTCAGGTGATGCCATTAGTTTTCAAAAGGCTATGATATTTGATACTCTATCTCCCCACATGATAAATGAGCATATTTAAACAGCCAGAGAGGAGAACAAGAACATGGGATTAACATGAGATGGCTGAAGGTTACTATCCCCCTAGGCTCATAACGTCCCCAGACATCCTCCTGTGGGTCTGATGGAGGAGGCTGCACTGATCTTATACTGTATGGACTTCCCAAAGTTCAATTTGACCTAGGGATTCAATTTTACTATCATCCCATAACTGCACAAGATCTCTGCACTGATCTAGTGGCTGGAATACCCACTCCTGCTCAGCTTTACTCCCAGCTAAAGGCTGAGGGGGAAGAGGAGCTAAGGGCTCACTGTGTGCACATCTGCATGTCACTGCATGACAATTTTTGGTCCAGCTCAGTTATTTTCTTTCCCTGTGATGCCCATGTAAAGACAAACCCCAAAATTTCATTCATGACCATTGGTTATTGGCAGGTGCAAATCCCAGGAAACATTTCCAAGAAATCCCTTGCAATGACAAAGCAAATTTGGGCTTACTTTATTGCTGTCACAGTTCTGCTACATAGTACCAGATTTCAGATACTGGGTGAAAAAACAACCAAACAACAAAACCAAACAAGCCACAAAAAAACTCCCAAGCAAACAAAAAAAAAAAAAAATCCAAGCAAACAAAAAAAACACCAACAAAAACAACAGAAGAAAACTGACATATACAGTTTTGTATCAATGATCTTTCTTACTGTGCCCCACAGAACATTTTGGGGTTGTCTTTGCCTGTGACTGGCCCTGTTCCTAGCCAGATCTTTGTGTAGTTTATCCAGAACTGATATGCCCAGTTTTGGTATTTTAATTTCTTCTAAGGCAGTGAACGTCATCACTATCTACATTTGGGAGTGGGAGATTTCCTTTGTGGCTTTGCTATGTATGACTAGCACCTAGGAAACAGCAGGTTTGAAAAGAAGCTACAAAGCCTTTAGGCAGTGGGCGTATAATGATATGCACCATGCACAAAGAATACTTTTTTATACTGTCCAAAGTAATGCTTAAAAACCCTGCCTTTGATGGAGGCTGGTGATGTATGGCTAACATCACCTTAGAGCAAAGTAGATTTAGCTGAAGAACTGAAGTGACTGGCCAAAAGCCATGCTACAAGTCAAGGCATGATTAGCATGCCATGATTCATCACAGGTAGCCCAGAACCCAGAGAGCTGGCCTACACTTGTCTCCCACCTTAATCCTATTGCTGAGCTCTTAGTCCCACCCACCCAGCTATTGTGCTAATGTCTGTGGGAGTAATGTATATATATCTGTATGTATGAAATCAAAGTAGTTTTGATGGAGTCCTCTCATTCAGATTAATTTCTCTCCAGCTCAGTAGTGTGCAAAGCCAGAGCCTTACTGTTTTTCAGTATCCTGTCATCTGAGGCAACAGCTTTCAAAACCTTTCTCTCGGCACCATTTTCTTACATCTCTACACATGACTTTTGGTGCAGGATTTTGCAAAGGTCTTTAAATGATTTTTTTCTCTATTCTTTTGTCCATTTGATTACTCCTTGTAGGCTCAGTTTGATGTCTTCCTAGGTAGTTCTTTCATGTAGGAATCTTTGCCCCTATACAAAACTTCTTTACCTCACACTAGGAGAAATGTCGTCTCCTGCAACCTCTGTACTTCACATCTCAGTAGGCAGATTGTCTCATTGCTTCCACAATCCATTCTACATGTGCAACAAAGAATGCAATTCCTATATAAGCAGCAATGGTTCATACTGTGTGGCCTTTCCAAAGGGTCAGATTGACCTAAAGATTCAATTTTACTATAACCCCTAACTGCTCAGCACTCCTTGGACTTTCTCCCCATACTGTACATTGTTAGCACTTGTAATGGAAACTTTGATGTGCAATTAATTGCAATTTAAATCCTCTGTGGCTTTCAAGTATATGACTGGAAGGTATTGATCAGATTTCTACATAATTGGAACTTGCAGAGTCTTGCAGCGAAAAGGGAAGCTTAATTTTCACTAAGCCAGTCCCTAGATCTATGTCATTAAATGGGAATGTATGTTCCTGGGGACTGGTTCTTTAATTCCTGAGCATGATGTGGCTGTCTGGGCCTCCAGCAGCTATCACTGCTCTAATAATATAGTGTAAGATCACTACACTTCACTGAAGTGCTGCTTTGTAAACACCACATGCAATATTTATTCATTTCTTTATACTCTGGCCTCCTTTTTACCACTTCATAGCCTATTAATAAATGTATCAGTTCTCCTGACTTGTTTTCTCCCAGCTTGGTGTTTGCAGATGACCTCAGGCTGCATAAGAGCACATGCTAATTTGAGCAAGCCTCTCTGTGGCTTTCTTTCATTATAGAAGATTTTAGTAATTTTTGAACTTGTACTGGCTGCAGAAGTTATGTGGGTCAGTAAGAGAGAGTACAGGCAAAAGAAGCAACTTTTCTTAGCCTTTGCTGTCCATCTCGTGCTGTGGCAGAAGATGTGGTGCAGGAGGTGGGACCTCTACATTATCCCAAGCACCATGGGCATGAAGGCAATCGTAGTTGAGATTTAAACAATACAGATAATAGCCCAGTTCTTGGAAGTAATAATTGGCCTTATAGACTAGGTAGCTCTGAAGCTTTCCAAAGCACTTTTCATTAAATCATTCAAACCAGACACCCTAGAATTCATTAAAAAAAAAAAAAAAGAAGAAAAAGGGGAATCTTAAAAATCCAGATTTCATCCAAACTTAAAAAAAAGGCCAAACTAATTATTTCTCTGTATGTAAAACATACTGTCTCCCAAGAAAACAAATGCACGAACTGAGGCTCATTTAATCCAGGCCTACTCATACCATCTCTTTTTACTGGTCACGACACAACCTATTTGAAATTTTAGTCAACAAGATCTTAACACAAGAATTTGACTCATCTCCATTAAATCAAGCATTAGATTAAATTCTCAAAATAAATATTAAGATGTAGGTATAAAACACAATGCACTATTGCTTCATAAAATGCGTACTTGAGCTGTGTAGATTCTTGTCTAGGTAATTGTAGATGGTAAAAAATAAGTGGGTCTAAATCAAAAGGGCAAATTGATGGAAGAAATATTTCTCTAGACCTTATATATATATATAAATGTGTTGGCAACAAGTCTAATTCAAATAGTCTCTGTGCCATGAATAGTGGTAAGGAGGGAATTCATTTTGTTGTTCAGTCAGCATTTGTAGGGTACATTCTTAGCTCTTTTGCCAGGTGGTATTCAAGTAGTTTATGTGTGTTATTTCCAGCAAAATGGTTAGAATAAAAGTTTTAATGAGGAGTCAAATGCATTTTCTGCATGTGGTTCTCCTCACCTTTCACTTCCAATATGAGAGTAGGATCTATTGACTTACATGGTACTTTTATTATCAACATATTTTCAGAGCCCAACAGAGGTGTTATAAGCAGTACAATTTAATCCAACAGAAGAAAGTCCTGTGGTAAACTGATTTGTTTCTACCTCATTTCTCAAAGCTATCATTAACATTCTTTTTCTAAAACACATTTGGCCTAACCAGTAAAACCCTTTACAAATGTATGGTGGGCAATAGGCACATTTCTTTTAACACTTCAGTAAATGTTTCGGCTTTCAGATTAAACCAATTGCTATAACATTGCCATGCACTTTAGAAGTGCTGACTCAGAACTGCAGCCTGGAAAAGTCTCTGTACAGTTCATTCCTACAATTCATTCAGACTTGACCAACCCTTCCATCTGCAGCCTGCACTTCATAATATCATTTTGCCAAATACCTTAAAGTGGGGAATCACATCTTCCCAGGAGCAGCCAGGGATAACACTGCAGCCAAGTTCTTCCCAGGCTGCCTCCTTGATCTAAGTAAGGCATTTATCACCCTGAGCTGGGATACTCCACTGAGAACGTGTCAATGGAAATGGAGCTCAAAGATAATAGGTACCAAAAAGCATATGACATTTACTATGTCATGAAATGACATAATAAATTTCTGAAAGCTCACAGATTTTCTGAGGCACATCTGGCTGTGACCATACCTGTGTGCTAAGTCCTGGTCATTAATGCAAAGGGGAGTTTGCCATTCACTGGAAAGCAGGAATTTGGCCAGAGCTGTGCTGAAATGAAAGTGCCAGAAAGTATTATAACCATTTTCTAGAAGTCTGCTGAAGATATGGTTAAATACCACACTTTCTAGAGCCCACTGTGCTGCAACTTCATTCCAAGTAGGTTTTGAACTCATATTCAAATATGCCTTTGGAAACCCTGTTCCATGTCTCAGGATAGCACTAGGTACTCTATCTTGCCTAACTCCTCTACATTCGTCCAAGAGTTAGATTACTCCTTATCACGGTAGTAGTGGCAAATCACAGGTAGGTGGAGGATGAGGATTCCCAACTGGTACACTAGGGACCTAACATTTTTTTCTCTGTTGCCCAAAACCCAGCTCCTGAATCAAGCTGCAGAATGGAAGCTCCAGGCCAAAATGTTAAAGGAGCAAGAGACTGTCCTGCAGGCACAGGTGACGTAGGAGAGGTGATTGCATGGTGTGCCTTTGTTTCCCCGTTTTTAACCCATGAGACATGTTCCAGGTAAAGTATCCACACTACTTTATATGTATTCCCACTAGCCTCATTCTGCAACCCATAGGCTATTGCAAAGGGGACAGGTTATTTTCAAGCCAACTGTAAGGTAAAATCCATACTGCAAATCATACTGTGGTATGTGGGTTTTTTAGTCTGGAGAAGAGAAGGCTCCAGGGAGATCTTATAGCAGCTTTACAGTACCTAAAGGGGGCTTACAATAAATGTGGGGATGGGCTTTGTATCAGGACCTGTAGTGATAGAGCAAGGGGTAATGGCTTTAAACTGCATGAGGGTAGATTTGAATTAGATCTAGGGAAGAAAATCTTTACTATGAGGTTGGTGAGGCACTGGCACAGGTTGCCTAGAGAAGTTGTAGATACCCCTTCCATAGCAGTGTTCAGGCCAGGCTGGATGTGACATTAAGCAACCCGGTCTAGTGCAAGGCATCGCTGCCTGTGGCAGGGGGTTGGAACTAGATGATGTTTAAGGTCCCTTCCAACCCTAACTGTTCTATAATACTATGATTTATGAGTGTTTAAAGTACTCAACTACATAACAATATGTGTGCCTTGGCTTGATTATTCACTGTAACTACACTTCAGGCAGGTTTCTAATCCAACGAAGCACTGGAGTACGTACATACCATGAAACACATTTACCAAACTGGAGCTGATGTGCTCATGGGATTTTCTGTACTGCGGTGTGAAGGCAACATTTTCATTAACTTCAGCAGGAATTCTGCCTGCTAAGGGCTTATACAAAGGATTTCAGTGTTTGGCTGGAATTTGAAACATTCAACAAAGTAAAAATGCTTGCCAAAATTATAGTAAGAGTCAGGCTGCAGTGAAAAGCAGTAAAAACAAGAAACAGGCAGTACATGCTACACTTTGAAAGTAATGCAATAATCCACCTTTAATGCAAGTGAGAACACACAATTACATGTTTGACTTTGGACTTTCACATCAAAAAGAGATAGCATTAGTAGATTTTCCTAGACTTACAAAAACAGCCATGTAGATTTATCTTCTTTAACTTGTCTGCAAGAAAGGTCCTCCCCAGCAGAGCTTTGGGGAGTGGGGAGGGTGTCAGTCCTTCAGCCCCCCTGCAGCTGCTCATCTCCTCACCCCTCAGGAAGTCCCTTCCAAGCCCTTGTTCACAGTTAGTCATACTGGGAAGTTGTTCCAGCTCTGCCCTTATAGATGTTCTAATTCCTACCTGTTGAGCAGTCAAGAAAGGCTATCATTAAACAGATAACCTGGAAACACGCTAAGAGGGGTTTGGTCCTTTACATGTTTTTTCAAAGGCTGAGATAAGCTGGTAATGCACCAAAGAACATCCCATAAACTGCTGCTGACACCAGTTTGACAGGTTCTGCAATCAAACCTCAAAGGCCTCCAGCTGAGTATGTCCCAACTGCAAACCTGCTCCCAATTTTCTCAGAGTGGTTTTAATTACACTTTTATGTTTAACCAGAAAGAGTTTGTATGGAAGCAGACCTCTGTAGACAGTTTAATGAAACTGAAGATACTGATAAAAGCAAGAATATATGAAGCATACATTTGAAATAGTAAAATTGGTTTTAGAACAATCCAGTCAAACAAGTCTGCAAAGGCATTGGTAATATATGTGCCTTTTGCAGACTTGGGTACATGAAAATTAAGTGATTCACTTTTTGAAATGAAATATGCATTAGTTAGAGCTCAAGTGTGAGAGCTCTGTCACCTACACAGTAACCTCCATTTGGAATTACTGGAAAGAATAACATCATTATTATTATTACTACTATTATTATTATTACTATTTCCAGTATAGTAGGCACTGAAGGGCCTCCCTCATGGACCAGGTGCCATTGTGGAAGTACAGAAGAGAAACAGCATAAAGAGCTCCTTGATGCAAACAGCAAAAAACAACAAATAGATATTAACAGAGGAACAGCTCCATGGAAACTATGAGAAGACGTTGGTCAGTGAGATAAGGAGAAGCCATAATACAGCCCCCATGGTCTGCTATAGTGAGTGAGTGAGATATCACTCCATTTTAGAGGAGATGATGAACACCCACTGTTTCCTTGAGCTGGAAGGAATCAGGGGGCATCATTTTCACACCTGCCTGCCACATCAGGGGAAATGATTTTCAAGCCTGTCTCTGGGTAGCACAGTCTGCCTGAGGTGGCCAAATCTGGCCCTCCAAATGGTGACAGAGATCTGGCACCAGCTGAGGGAATACACCCAAACCACACTGGTGCTTCCCAGGACGCTTCACACCCTCTCCAGGCATGTTGCTTAGGAAGACACTTTTAGCTTTGTGCTTTGAAACAAAGTGAGAAGATAAAAGTCAGCCAAGGCCTTTAATTTTCAGCAGCTGGCATAGTGCAATCACTGGGCTATGGCAATCAAGAACTTAACCGGGCCAAAGGGGTGTCCTCGCTGTAGCACCCTCACAGCATGATGATGCTGAGATATCCTTACTTCCCGAAGCCTTGCTCTCAGTCCTCACCTGGCAGCAGCACTGCCTGTGCTCCCCCTGCCCATGTTGTCAGGGCCACTGGATGGATGGTGCGCAGCAGTGAGGGGGCCCTCATCTCCCTAACTGAGGAGCAGGAGTGCATGCTCCTACTGAGAGACAGCTCTCACATGCTGTTCCCAGCCACTGTGGAAACATTAATTTATTATTCAAATTTAAATTGCATAAGCTATTCTTGGTGCTATGATATTGCCTCAGGCCCCAGCTGAGATCAGAGTTTGCCCTGTTCAAGCCTAAAAGGTTTTCAGTCTATTTAAACAATAGGCAAAAGTTGGAAAGGAAAAGCAGAGGCAGAGAACTGAGGTGAGGTTTTTAAGACAATGGCTCAGGGCTAGAAATCTCAATTCACTTGCTCTCACTCCTGCTCCTTTAATTGGCTTTGGGATGCTCAGGCATTTCTCCTTAGAGCCATGACATCTATTTCAAATGTCTCAGTATCAGTGTCCCACTTATGCTGTGGCACTCTAGCTGCTAAAACAAATCCCTTAGAGTTTATGTTTGTGCATAGGTCACAGCTCTGGCTACAGCCTGGTGCAAATACACTTTGTCAGCTACTTCTGATTTTGGCATCACAAGCTCTACGCAGACTAATCTCCCATGCCTTCACCCAGCTCAGTGGGCAAGGGCTGCAGCCAGTGCCTTGTTCACAGCCACCAAGACCCTAACTACCTAGTTTAAACTTACCTCAGGCACATCCATAGTACACTGAAGTTACAGCCATGACATGGGGCATCATAACAACTAGCCAGAATGAATGTGAAACACAATATAACGTTAGGTGTTCTGATTTCAAAATCAGAATTAAACCCACCCACTATTCACCACATTTTCTAAATCTTCTTTTCCTCAGTAACTGCAGAGTAGGCACCAGGGGAGGGTGTGTGTTGGCTGGCACCACACAGAATACAAGCTCCTAGGTGGTCATTTAGTCAGCACCCTGCTGGTGTGAAGAGGGCAGTTAGCCTCCAGCCAGACACCTGAATAGTGCAGACTGTTCTTGAATCTCCCATCACTCTGCACCCACCCTGCCTCAGCCACTGCATGTAACACCAGTCACTCTTCTAATGAGAGCTGTCAGGCTGGGCAGATGAAATCTCCAGTCACCTAAACATTGCTGGGGGTGCTCTGGAACCAGATAGAAGTGGATGAGATGGAGCTGCTCTTCTTACAGAAAAACTGATCTCAGACCTTTGGAAATGTAGTGGGTTTTTTTATATATAAAAGTCTGGATCACTGACAAAATACAGCCACAGATGAGTTTCCACATGGCTACCTAGTATAAACTGATAGCAAAATATGGAGCCCTAATAGTCTTAAACGCTGGTACATTGCAACAGATCTTTCTTCTGCTCTGCTTCATGAAGTGAAGTGAAACTGGCAGAAGAGGCTGTCAGGGGATTATTTTCTCTGCCTTTGCTGGCCTTGCCTGCAGCTGCAGCACACAGGCAGGCTACGAAACAGAGCTGACAAGGTGCCCTCTCAGCTCACTCAAACCACGAGCAGAGACAAAGCTGGAAGGGATCTAGTGCAGGATTACAGGGGTGTGAAGCCAAGGGTGGATTTTGCTTAGTGCTGGGGCTACCCTGTATGTCAGATAACATAGGAAGGGAACAGCAATGCTCCTCTTCCAACAGTGGAGTCCAGTGAAGCACATCAAGTGCTGCCTGGTGCAGCTCCTAGCCACAGCCTGAGCCACCAAGTGGGGACTGGAAAGATGGAAGAGGGGAAACTGTGGCTGTGGTGTAGATACCTCTCCCACAGTTCACTTGGACATCAGAAGCAGTTTACACAGGGTAGTACTCAGCTCCCCCTCTAAAGCCTGCCAGAGCTTATGTCCACAGGTTAAAGTTTGAGTCTGGCAATGTCTACATGGTTAAACAAAGCTTAGAGCTTAGCCCTCACCATGCTGGCTCTCACCTTGATTTAATCCCACTGCCTGGTTCTGCACAGCATCAGCGGTTGGACCAGATCAGGTTAGTCCCTGACCATGGACATGGGCTCAGGTATCACATTATCATTTTCCATTCTGTAGGTCATCCTAGGAGTCCTTTCCTTTAGATTTCAACCACAATTCTACATAGAAGTATACAGGGCCTGTGAGGAAAGGAAGGGAGTAGAAAGCTTTTCAGACTTTGATGCTGCCCTCTATAGTCCCTGTAGTTACCAAGAGAAATGTTTTCAGAAGTCTCTGCTTCTAGAGAACTCTTTTGCTTCTGAGCACCCAGTTTAGAGATGCCATAGCTGCAACATTCAGGAGAATAAGGCACCCATATTTCCCAGGTCTTTTTAAAATCACTGGCCTCGGTCTTCTATTTTTCCTCCATTTACCTTTCTGCAACAGAGAATCATAATAGCTTGCAACCTTAAAAAGATGCAGAGAGTCTCAGTTCCCTTATGTTTGTGTTTCATGGTCTCCAAACAGAAGCTAATTTGCTTGCCCAAACACAAAACTTAATATCTTCTACCAAAGAGGAAGTTCACCACCCTGGAGACTCTGAAATTTTACTGTGCTTTTTTTTCTGTGTTAATGCAGATCACTCTCTACTCTGAAAGGTTTGAAGAATTTCAGAAAACATTGACCAAAAGCAATGAAGTGTTTGCCACATTCAAACAGGAGATGGAGAAAGTGAGTAGCAGCTCATACCTGAACTCTATGCTTCACACTTTCCTTTTAAATTTTGGTATTTCTCCCTGCAATAATTTCATCTGGAATGGGACCATTTCTGCACATTTTGGAGAACAATCTCATCAGCATTCAAATAAGGTCTGGGGCACACTTAGCCACAACCGATAGCAGCTTACACTTCAGCAATGTAACCTGAACATTTTACTTTCCCTTTCAGATAAAACCAAAATTTCCCTGGAAGAACAATCATTTTACCTAGAAGTTAATGTGGTGGTTGGGTACAGACCCCTCCAGAGATATTGAATGGGGAGTCTGAAGCTGCATGTCAGCCCATGTCTCCAGGAGTGCCCAGAGCCTGCTGGGTGACTGACACTGGTACAGAAAGGTTGACACAGGCTACACATCTTCCTACCGGCACAGACAGGCAGATCTGAAGCCCATCAACACCTTCCCACCATTAAGCCCAAGTGGATGTTTCGCTGCTGCTGGTGTACTTATTTCCTGTAGTGAACAGGAGTCAAAAACCAAACACACCCACATGTTGAATCCACTTTCACAATAAATGATGTTCTGCTCTGCCACTGGGGCCCATATTCCTGATGCCCTGACCCAAGCAACCACTAAGGATTTGCACAGACAGTTCAGTCTGCAGAAAACCAAATGGAAAAATGATGCTGTTTAGGTAGTGGTGTATTTTAGAGGTAGCATAGAGATGACTAATCCAGAGGGAACTTCCTTGGCAGTGCTGGCTCAGAAGATGCAAGCCCTTTTTTGACTTCCCAGCAATCTAACACTGTAGTCTGGTAAAGAGACAAATAGAATAATGTCACATTTTCTTTGCCTTTTGTTTTTGTGATAGTTTGTAATGTGGGATTTGGCTATACTTATATCCACATAATCAACTGGTCCTACTTTAGGACTGCAGACTGAAGGCTGAAAGTTATATGGCAGATACATAAAACAAAATCCATCCTTTACCATAAATTATTACTTAGCACAGCCACTACAGCTGCTGGTAGCAGAGTTATGAGTACAGCCAAAGACCTGAATAAAAGGACTGTCCTAATTTAATCTTCAGCATGTACTTCCTGTTGTGATTCAGCTTTTCCTCCTGCTTCTGTAGATGACAAAGAAAATGAAGAAGTTGGAAAAGGATACTGCTACATGGAAATCCAGGTTTGAGAACTGTAACAGAGCATTACTGGACATGATTGAAGAGGTGAACAGTCATTTTCTTCTCAGGATGCACTTCTTTCCCCACATAAAGCTTTAACTATGAGATGTGGTGACCTGAAACTGCCAGAAGTCAATGAAAAATTTGTTCTTGAATCTAAGGGTCTTTTTTTCCAGCTCCCTTGGTAATTAGATATATTCACACAAAAAGACAACCCCAGCTGCTGGGGCTTTTAGGTTGTTCAGAGGCATTCATTACGTCCATGAGAATCTGAATTATGTAACTGTGAATTTTAAGTGCTCTAAAAATGTGTGATTGTTAATGCTGTCACACAGAAGCAAATTGGCATTAGTTCACTTCATGCAACTTTCTTTCTGCATAAGAGCATCCTCCCAGGGAATTAATGTGGTCTAGCTAATGAACTTCAAATTTACGCCTTTCATTAACTTTCTGTGTATGCAAACTCTAAGAGCCAAAAGCAAGTACTGTGGCTCACCATGGTTTTAAACTTGCTGTCACAGGGGCATTGCAGAGGAAATTCATAAGCATGTTGGAACTCATCCAAATAAGATAAGAGGCTGCTCGAAATTTCACCCCAAATTTACACTGAACTCGGACGAGACCTTTCTGATTAGACTTGTAGATCTGTGCTATTGCTGTTTCTGGGTTTCTGTATCTCTTGTTTCCTCATTGACTGTAGAAACAAGAAAATGTTCCGGTTCAGGCTGCTTTCACAGAATCTAGAAGCAAAATAAGCAAAAAATATAATACAGCTTGTTTTCCCCAAAATTCACACCCGCTGGATGTCCAGGTAGGCTTTTGGATGCTTGTCTACACAGACATCCACTACATTTTTCCACCTCCACAGACCAACAGGTACTCCTGCAAATATATTTGAGTGAAATTGATCTCAATCTGTATGGAGACTGAGAATGCTTAATACAGTGAGGTAACATGGCTGAATTTCCTCCTGAAGCTTCAGTACAAAAGACCATAGTTATTGTAGAGCAGTTGGCAAAAGCCAGCTACCTGGCAGCCTTGTGAGAGCTACCTAGATCTCAAATTATCTCCTACCTGCCAGTTCCACCAAGGGACTGCATGCACCCAGACTCGGTTCTCACCTTTGTCTAATGTCTTTGACCACAGAAAGCCATGAGGACCAAGGAATATGAATGCTTCGTGCTAAAAATCCAGAGGCTAGAGAACCTTTGCAGGGCTCTGCAGGAAGAGAGGAACGAATTGTACAAAAAAATAAAGCAAGCACAGTTCCCTGAAGAAGTGAATGGAAATGACATCTTAGAAGAAGATGATGATGCTGATAGAAGCCCTTCCTCTTCTGAGCAGGCAAGCATTGAGCTGCACGATAATGATGAGAGGATGCTGAAGGAGCTGGCTGAAGCCTTTAGGGTGTCCCATAAGGCAGAGGGGTCCATCCCAAGCAACAGCAGCAATCCAGAGGCCAGTGATCCTCAGACATGTAATGCCATCCTGGTGCCAGAGCTCCCCTCTCCTCTAACCCCACAGTCGGAGGCTGAGAATCCCTGTGAGCAGCCCAGTATGAGCACATCAGCGCCCACTGAACACATGCCAGCATCCCCTGGAAGCACACCAGCACCCACTGAAAATACTACAACACCCACCGACAACATGACAAAGCCCACCAAAAGCATGCTTGTGCTTCCAGAAAGAGTGCCAGTACCCACAGAAAGTGCACCAATACCGCCCAAGAGTGTGCCAGTACCCACTGCGAACATGCCAGAACCCACTGAAAGCATGCCAACAACCCCCAAAAACCTGCCAATACCAGCACAAAACATGCCTGTTCCCCTTGAGAATATGCCAGCACCCACAATAAGTCCACCAAAAGCTGCAGAGTGTGTGGATGACCCAGCAGAGCAGTCTGTCCAAGGTCAGTCCTCAGAGGAAATGGGTGACACAGACATGGAAGCAGTGGATTGAAGATGCTGGTGTGTCCAACCTTGTCCTCTAAAAACCACAACTCTACTTTGTCCTCTAAATTGATACCTTTCTTTTTTTAAAGAAACAAAAAGTGGGTGCTAAAACGCACTCACATATCTGTAGCAAATGTAATGCAATTCTCCTTGCTACCACTATCCAGTAATAATGGGTCTGCAAATTTTGCTGTCTTTCATCTCCTTGAAGCATATTTTCTTAATGACAGGAAAATACAATGAAATTACAGGATCTTTTTTCCCAGGCATGATGAGTCATCTAATTCAGCAAAACAATTTTAAAGTGTTGAAGTTTCATGTTTCAAAAATCCTTGCTATTCACATACATATATTTAAAGACTCATCATTAATTATATCTGTTACGAGGTTGTGTAAAATATGGCCTACTTGGACACATAGTGATTTTCATAAATGAGGTGAAAGGAATCTGTAGTTACAAAGTAAAATAGTGAAACCATCAATGTGGTCAGCCGTATCCAAGGAAAGATGCAATAGCAAAAGGTGAATTTTTGTATGAGCAAGCTACTACTCAGCACTGTGGCCTGAACACCCACAAGCCCTTAGCCTTACCTTGAATCACTGTTTTCTGCTTAGTGTTCTAAAAGAGGTTTTGTTTTCAGCAGAACTGCAGGGGAGGGGAGAAGATCTTTTCTAGATTCCTCATAAAATGGCTGAAAACAACAGCAACTTATAAATTGATCACAATTCCCAAGGTAGGGGTCTCAACCCCCTTTCTGTATCCAACAGAAACCTGCTAGTTTGTCAAGCTGTTTGGGATCATGAACCAAAGAGAGGGGTTTATGAGTATTTCCAGCTCACAGATGGGGTCAAAAGTTCAGCAGTTGGTTGCCAGATCCCAGCTTCTAGATGAGGAACACATTGGAGATACACTAGAAGGTACCAGGACATACTCCAGAAGATACCCCTAAGATCATGCTTCTGAATGGTGTCATCTCTCCCAGTCACAGCCACATGACCCTCTTCACAACAACTTCCTCCTGCTGCTTCTGACTGTGCTGATGCCCCCAGAAGGCTGCGCACACTCACCTGTCACCCTGTTCGCTGTAGTGAAACACAAGTAAATAGCCCAGAAGCAAAAATAAAAGGTACCAGGAATGCAAGAATCTGTCTCACAGACACCTTCAGGAGCAGGCTATTTTCATCCCCTCTCTTGTCTAGCCAGATCTTCCTGTCTGCCTGCCAACACATCCATCATAATACAGCCACCTTGTCAGAAACTGGTTCATTCTGGCACCAAGAACAAAGATGAAAAAAAAAGGGGACAAGAGAGGGTACCTACCCAGAGAGCTATATGGTCACAAGCAAGGACAGTAAGAAGACTTTCTGGAAGATTAAAAAAATCCTGTTGGCATATTTCTTGTTTCTCATCTCCTTCCTCCGGATCCAGTCTAGGCCTTTTGGAATCTGAGCTGGATAGCTTAGAAATTTGAAAAGAGCATTTAAACAAGATGTCCAGAGTCTGGAAAGGGAAATGTTACAATCAAACAAACCCATGTTTATAGATATATACCACAAAGCCCCAGAAGACAAAGCAACTCATTCAAGCTGAAATTGAAATACAGGTAAACCAAGAGAAAAGATGCCATCTTTGGCAGCCCATGGGAGACTGCGGTCACAGAGACCTTCCAGCCCACCATCCTCCAAAAGCACAGTTTGAATGTTTGCTTACTGCCAACATGGCCCACACCCTGGTTAAGTACGTCTGTGTCTGTGTTCGCACTGCTTGGCCGAGCCTTTTTGAGAGCTAACTGTTGGAGTATACAGTGTGATTTGCAGCAGTTTGTTTTGATACTGCCTTACAAACAGCTATGACTACAGTTTTCAAATGTGGATGCCTTATGTTAGATATCAAGACTGACAGGATTTATTTCATGTCTTTAATCACCTGAAAGTAGATAATTCAAGTCTTAGTTACCTTAAGCTTCTTTTATAAGCAGTAGAGAAGAATAGGCATCTTTCAAGGACAGGTCATCTCATGGTAAAACTGGCATCCAAAACAAGAAATTATTTTCCCTCTGAAGATGCCTTTTCTCTTTGCTTGTTCTACAGCATGCCTAAGACAACTAGCTTAAATTTAAAATGTCCATTATTAGGTGTCTAAACCAGGCCATGAATTCCACCAAATGTTCAGATTCAAAGCCCTCAGTGAATGGTCATCTCTGAAAGCCAAGCCAGCTATGTGTTTGTGAAAAAGTTAGCCTGTAACAAATCCTTATCCTAAGATTAAAAGTTATACTCACCTGATACACTTTTTAAAGTTTCCACTGACTTAAGACTGTAGAAATATAGTTTCCATTACAAGTTTTGATTGTTGTTAGGGTGACTTTTAAAACTAACATAATTTATATATGCGTTAATGGCTTTTTTCCTTTCTTAGTCTTGTTTGATTCTTTTGCCATTCTATTAATTACCTGCAGGAAGCCAACTTCTTTTTCTTCAAGTCGGCCCTTAGAGTGCCTTTAGTTGTTTAAGTTTTCTTATACATTCAAATATTCAATTACATAATAATAATGATCAACATGGCCTTGCAACTTTAACTTGCTTCCATTTTGTGCAGTCATTATGGTTGCATCTTTAATTGTATAATTGTTGCCTCATCCCTTCCAACCTCAGCAAGAAGGAGACAAGGATCCTACAGATAAAAACTTCCTACATAGTTATGATTGATTCTTACAGTATCATCCCTCATGAATAATTACACAGCCTTCTGGGAAAATCACTCCCACTCTATTCCACCTTCCTCATTTTCGCCCTTTTAATTCTTGCATCTAAAACACTCACATACTTGCAATTCCTATTACTCTGTGAGTTTCTACCCACATACCTATTGTTTCTCTACTTCCATACCAGGCACCAACTGCATTTTTCCCCAGCGGTTTTCTCCTTGTTCTCAGTGCATACATGCAACACTGAAAGAACAGGAGGGTGACCCTCCCTGATTTTAGTTCCAGGATTTGGCCTCACATGTTTGCAAGAGATGGGAGGAAGCAATTTAGGGAAAACTCTGGCTGATCCCAGGATGGATGGAGCATTTATAGTTAAACTATAGGGAGTTTTATGTGTAATCTCATGGTCTATAAAGCTGTGGCAGGCTAAAGAGGCATAGAGGTAGAAAATCTGTAAGATTTAACCATGCACCTGTTTGTCATCCATTACATCAGACTGGCAGGTCAAACCACCAACATCATCACAGATTTGGGTGTTAACCTTTCTCATTCCTTTTCAATGTTAATTGCTGACCTCCTCTTGCTCTCTTCTTGTACTGATACCCAATATAAAACTGCCTCTGTATGGTAGCAATGTCCTTTTGAAAAGCCTTTGAGATTGCAGTCTGGGTATCAGCTCTGCTGCACTTTCCTCAGGTATCTCTGCACTCAAACACAGAAATCCACCACATTTCTGTGGTCTTTCAGAGGCAGTAAGTAGCAGTGAGACATGCATCTTCCCTAGTGATCATCCTTATCATTCTTCTACCGATACAGCCAGCCTCCCCAGTCCTGGTGTGTGCTGTGGTTGCTTCCTTCAGTCTTGCTTTTATTTCACACAGTTAATTCCACACCACCAGGCACAGATTTCAGGGTGAGGAAAGGTGATGATGGTAGTTATATTCTCCTTACTAAAACCATCCATTGCTGCACTACTTCCAAACCAGAAACAACCTATATTTGCAAAAGTTTCAAGGAAAGTACAAAAATATTTTCCCTTTCTACATGCCTGACCTTTGTCACCGCAAAAATTCATGAGCTCCCCTCCTGAACATGTAAAGCACAACATTCTTCAATAACCCACAGTTTATCCAAATGTGAGGGGATTTTCATGATGACAGCTAGAATTATATCCATGATGCTAACACGACCCTCTCACCTAATTTCTGATCCCTATGGCATGCCACAGTAATGGTAAATATTGCTGATGAGAGCTTAGTATGAAACAGCTGATCTGTTTCAACTTAACTTTTCCCACAAAACTGAACAGAAGTAGACACGGGCATAGAATATACAATCCAGATGACAGAACTGCAGCAGTAATGCAAATGACCCAGAACATGCCAAAATACAGTGCAACTTTTATTCTAGGCTTCATTATTGATGTCATCCTTAAATTCACTTTGTCAATGAGCCTGCAATCCACCACATATGCAATCATATTTGGATTCACACCATCACTCTCTCTTTACAATTAACACCGCTGTGCTCATCGGTATTGAATTTAGATTTTATTCTACCAGGAAACAGCAGCAGGACTTGTTTCTCTCCTGGGCCCACACACTACCCCTGCATTGCCATTCATACTGATTTTCACCCATGATCTTTGCTGATCCAAGGGCAAGCATGAGGAATGAAGAAAACCCTGTCCTCAAGTCAGCCTGCCCGCTAAAATCAGCACGTGCCAGCTGAATGAGATAGTTGGAAGGACAGGGAAGGGCAGACATGGAGAAAGTGTGCTTGCTGCACTGGCGGGCTTCCTTTCTGCTGAATTTTTTGTGCTCAGTCAGTGCTCAAACCCCAGGGGAACCCAGAAATGTCAATATCCACAGTCCCCACTGCTCACAGCTTCACATGGCTGACAGCTCAGGTCACCCTGCAGCCCCGGCCGCTCATCACACTTGACCCAACACAGCAAGTCAAGTGGTAATTGCCTGCGGGCCACAGATGGATGAAGAAAACATGGACCAGTTCCTCAGCTCACACATGGTGGAGGTTCTTACGTTTTGATCCTGACCTTGGAAGTTGGGTGGCAGAGAAAGATGCCAGGGTATTGTGAGTAATTTTCTACATCAGCAGAGTAGGTTCCACAGTGCTTATATTTGTAGATGACCTGGAAGTACATGCAAAGAGCCAAAAGAGGTAGAGGTTCAGAAATATGTATGGACAAGGGTCTAAAGGGACTGCTCTTTGCCCCTACTCAAGGAAGCCACATAGTGCAAACATGCCCAGACAGAGAAACTGAAGTCATTCATCCAGGCTAGTCCTGGATTTACTCTGATGATGCTAGCAAGGCATGCACATACACCTTTTCATGTTGCCTAATGAGGCATGTGCTCTGTGTCCCATAAGGAACAGATGTCCCGTAAGGAGGCAATAACCACATCATCCTCACTCTCTGCCACAGCTGCTTGTAGTCCTGACTGGAAGACTGTGAAAGGCTTTACCTTTTCTTGCATTTGGATATTATTATTATTATTTCTTCATGCATCTCTGATTTGAAGTTGCTATCTCTGTTTATCCTATGGAAAATATTTTTACACTTAAGAAAATGGAGAGGCTTGAGTGCAGGTCTGTCTCTGACAAAGTTAGTAGGCTTCAGCTTTGACGTGCAGATGAAATACTTGCAATCCAGCCTGAGAGAAAGGCAGTCTTAGCAAAACACTCTACACTCAGCACTGAAAATGATTCTGAAGTTGTGCTAAAATGTTGCACCTTGTAGCCATGAGCTATAAGAAAAAGAAGAGAGAAAGAAAATACCTCACATCCACTGATCAAGCAAATAAGTTCTGTATTACTAGAATATTCCTTTTTTCGGGGGGGGGGGAAGAAAAATAGGGGGGAGGGAAGGATGTTAAAGAAGCCCTCTTCTTTTCATGAATCATTTTATACACTGATTACCAAAATACACCGCAGAGAGTGCCTTCATAGGATCCCAAAATGCTTTTCAAGTACTAATGTTAAGGAATTATTTATGTCTTCATTTCAGGCTGAGGGCCACCTGCTCTAGGTTGTAACACAACAGCAATATGCTGCAGAAATACAGAGAGTTAGGGCAGAGACTTTCACTAGGTATAAAGCTTCAGAGTGGAATCCAACCACAAACTGATCTGGTAATAGAAAGAATAATTCTGGCACTGCCATCAGCAGAAAGTACAGGTCCAGCTCCTTGCGGGAGTAAATCGAAAGCCAGCTCCACACATTGATTGTTCAATGAGAATCCATCCGAGGGGCTGAATTACCACACCATCAGCAAGTCCTCTCTTTCTATGAAGTGAACATGAAGTGAATAAAATACTTCAGGGGCCCTGAGAGAGACAGAATGGATTTACACAAACAGAATTTGGCCAACACCCTGCATTTAATGAAGCTGCTTTTAGGAAAAGTACCAAAAAACCCGATCTTTACTGACCACATGTGGCCACAGCCTCTGCTTTGCAGCTCCTCCAAACCAGTGCTACAGTGCTCCAGCTCACGTCCTCTCCTCAGGAAGGATGAAAGGCAGAGCACCATCTCTGCTATCAAAAGAGTTCTTTCTGAGAGGATTGGGGTTGTTCAGCCTGGATAAGAGGAGGCTCAAGGGAGACCTCATAACAGCCTTCCAGTACCCATAAAGAGCCTACAAGAAAGCTGGAGAGGGACTTTTTACAAGGACATGTAGTGACAGGACAAGGGGGAATGGCTTTAAGATGAAAGAGGGTAGATTTACATTAGATATTAGGAAGAAATTCTTCTTGTGAGGGTGGTGAGGCCCTGGCACAGGTGGCCCAGAGAAGCTGTGGCTGCCCCGTTCCTTGAAGTGTTCAAGGCCGGGCTGGAGGGGACTTTGAGCAACCTGATCTTGTGGAAGGTGTCCCTGCGCATGGCAGGGGTTTGCAGCTTTAAGGTCCTTTCCAACCCAAATCATCCTATAATGCTATGATTTCTTCACCCACTTCCTGCAGCTCTTTACTCTTTCTCACACTTCTCCCACCCAATGACGGGCCTAAACCTATTCTGCTTGCTTGGTAGCTCTTGGTAAAAATAGAATAAAGTATGATTAGATTCAGATTTCATTTCACACTAGATCTGGGTCAGGGCTCACAACACCTGCTGCTGCAACAGCTCCTTGTCTTCACAGCGGGGGATGTCCTGCTCCTCTCACCAGCTTACAGCTCTGCAGACCCTCCTCTGCGTCAGCTTATCAGGCTCCCTTATGAACTGATGTAACTCACCAACCCAACAGAAAAGTAATCCAGATAAGGAAAAAAGGATGGTTTTCCAGCATGTCAGTGCACTGATGGATAAAGTGCCGATAGTCCTTCTGGTAGCAGCAGGCTACTAGATCAGCTAAGGTGTACAAAAATCCTGCTCACTTACTACTTAATCACAGTGCTACCTGAAGCGTGACCTCCCTATTGCCATAGCCATAGCCAGTATACAGGACCAGATGGAAGACTGTTGCGAGGAGAAGGGTATTAGTTATTTCTTTAAGAAGGAGTCCTCCTTCCCCCATTTCTGATGGGTATCACAGCCTCCTCTCCCATTTGGGTGCTGTCACCCCTTGAGCCAGATGCAGGATGATTTGGGGTTTAACCTGGTGTCATGGTTTAACCCCAGCCAGGAACTCAGAACCACGCAGCTGCTCGATCACTCCCCCACTTGTTCCTCCCCCCGCTCCCAGAGGAATGGGGAGGAGAATTGAAAGAATGTAATTCCCACAGGCTGAGATATGAACAGTCCAGTAACTAAGGTATAACACAAACCACTGCTGCTACCACCAATAACAATAATGATAAGGGAAATAACAAGGGAAGAGAATACAACTGCTCACCACCTGCTGACTGATACTCAGCCCGACCCAAGCAGTGATCTGAGTCTTTTGGGTAACTGCCCCCAGTTTATATACTGGG